TTTGCTATATTTCTGCTTATTTAGAATCAGAGAAGATTGAGATTAAAGTGTTGCCAATGCTACGAAAGTAAAATTGTCATGTGCCAAAGCCTGCAGCGTTGAGTAGTGAGGACATATTTTTTTTAGTCCAAAAGGTCTAAGTAATTATTAATTCCACAAAAAGTGCAAATGAAATGAAATGAAATGGGATTTCATGTCCTACTGTTCTGCTCATATACTGGGCTAATGAAGACGGATTGCAAATGCAAATGTGTACAGTAATAAACTGATAGTAATTTGTTTTATTTTCACAAAAGCAAGCTGTTTCGTAACCTGGCCTCTTACAGAAATAAGAATTACGGTGAAAAATTAGAAAATAAGGACATAGAAATAGTTTTACATCTGTGTGAATAGTATTTATTAGTATTATTACTATTACTAAGGTGACCCACGCACCTACAGAAATACAGTCAACCGCTGATAGTTCGAGACTACCACTGAAGCGTGCACATTCGCCGTGTCGAGGCCAACTTTCTGACAGTATGATACTATAAATAGCCATGGCACGTGCAATTCTCTACAAATCTATCAACTATTACAGCCGTAAAAAAATGATTGTTGACGATTTTGAATAGCAGTAAAATTAAGCTTCTTGGTTATTACAGCAGATTTAGAAATTACGTTCGTTTCATTTTTTTAAATCGCTTTATCATTAACTGTACCGTTAAGAGCGGCATCTTTTGGTTTAGTACAAATAATATCTCAGAAACACACGGGTTAGACAGGAACATGATACTAGCAGTAGTTTCATTTTACTTTTACAAGCTTCTTAAAACAATTGTTGAGCTAGCTAACGTGCTCATTTCTAAATTCAATTTCTTGTTCTAGCTTTCTGTTATGTTTCGTAAAAAAGTAGTCTTGATTATCCCGACCTGTCAATCAGCCCTAGAATGGTCGATAGACTGGTTAAGCGAGACTAATTTCAAAACAAGGGCACGTAACCTATCTTTTACTCAAAAGTGTCTGGATGTTATGGACGACACATGGAACCAGTTTTCAGTCTATTATTTATAGATGATTAATGGTCATAGCTTATTAAGTACAACATGATCGTTTATTTAGTGACTATAATTGTGTGAAACTGATTTGAGGCTTGGCATATATATAAATATTGTGGCGAAATTGTCGAGATATATGGAGATATTTATTTATGGTGGGTCACCCTACTATTACATTTTATTGTAAGTTCTTTTCATATCGCTGAATTTGTAGTCTCAGTATACGTGTATATCAGCAGTCGGGGATATAAGAAAGAACTTACTTTCAAATAAAACCTCTCAATTTAACTGGTATAATCTATTTTTCTCTGTTTGTGTAATCCAAGTAGCTGTATATTGAACATTTCTAATGCACTCCACGAATAAAATCCAATACGTGCGCCATCTTTGAAATAACATTCCCAGAATACCTCGCTTCCGGGTTCAGAGTTGTGAAAAAGTATGTACAAATATAAAAGAATCAAAATGATTTTAATAATGATAGTTTAATCAATGTGGACAATATACTGAAAAAGACAACAAACATAGACCACCTAACATTGAAATCCGTTAATAGAAATTACATTTAATAATCTATCGATGTAGTTATTCATTAACATTGCATTGACAGTAATTTATCTTGACCTTGACCCAAAATGGCGGCACATATACGTAGATTTCTTATAACAACGGAGATTATGCGACTATCAACTGTAGGCCTACGCACTTCAATATTTTATATGTAGGCTATAACTACGTAATATTTTATGTCTATGAATAGTAAAATTTAAGAAATTATTATATGATTCAGAGACCCTTTTTAAAGCATGCACATGATATAATATACATACGTACAGCTTTATTCGGATCACGACGGATGCAGTAGCCAAACTCATTTTGTTGATGTTTGTTGAAATATATCGAATACAGCCATTTTATTCAGTTGTATCAAATTAAATAATCCCGATTTTTGAAATATTATTTCCATTGCGAATATAGGTATCTACTTTTTAAGTTGTCGGAATTGTTTTAATATTTACTTTCCCAGTCTTATATTTATCTAGGTCAAACTACAACATATATATTCGTTGGACAACTTTCAAACGTGTGATAGAATCTACTATAAGGACTAAATTAAATATATTTTTGTGGTAACAGAGCTTAGACACATAACAAATTGTACACACACGCAATAAAATAATATCTAAATTTCTACAAATTTTGACCGAATTTAAATTGGTTTGAAAGGCCACTTAAATTAAAGGGACAATAACACTCTTGCTGGCTTGAAAGCTCCAGAAAATAAATAATATCTCTATCTAAGTACTAGATGTTTAAGTGTCCTACCTGTTGTGTAAATTATCCATTACATCCTATTTTACTTGTCCAGAGGGTTCGAAAATATTTTTAAATCGAAGTTTCATTTGAAAAGGTTTACGTTAGACGTTTCAAACCATTATGTTGAATTTTTCAAAATTTTTAAATAAGGTGTATTAAGATGAAATTTGTATCATTAATTAATTGAAATATTCTAAAATAGTACAATTTGTTGACCAGAATAAAGATTGGGACATATTATTCAGTTACAACAAGAGTGGTATTGAGCCTTTAACATGTCTGACTCGGCTTTTATTTTTAAAAAAAACCCGTGAAACACGGGCATTTTGGGGTATTAAGATGATTTATATTTACTTATTGTGCAAAAGTTAATCAATTTAATAAATTCAATAACCACCCATGCAGACATAAACGCTGCTCCCAAATTACCATTCAGGCTGTAAAGTTGTTTCGGGCAATGAAATAAAAAAAATATTGTAATAATTTGGGGCAGATTTTATTTTGTTTAACTTCTAATTGGCTAGTTCTTGTATGCATGGAAAACAGGCTACATGAAGCCAAGCCTAGAAATATTCCAGAGTGTCCTAAATCTAATTAGCCATCAAATTTACTAACATTCAACCAAAATGAGACGGAGGAGTCCACTAGGCCTACTATATTATTATTATGGTTCAATTATAGCACTTCATTACACATGAGTATTTCTAAGCGCAGTCACAAAAACACCCAGTTCAAAACCATTTTTGGGGGGTTGGATTGCCGAATGGTTAGCACGTGCGTGCTGTATCATACGACCTGTCATTCAGTCAACTGGCGTGGTTTCGAATCCCCGGTTGTACGTGACAAGGAGTAGGGTCGCCTGTCCAACCTCGTGGGTTTTCTCCGGGTCCTCCCACTGCTAAAGACCCCTACGCGCAAGCGAATTATTGAAATAAAATTAAACCATATGTTAGTCCGGAAATGACCTAGTTTGTGTCGAATGGACGTTAAACCCCATCTCTCTCTCTCTCTCTCTCTCTCTCTCTCTCTCTCTCTTTTTTGAAATAAATTAGTTTTTAAGTTCTGGATGGAAGAGGACTCACGAATAGTTTTTGTAAGACAATTTCACATTTTAGCTGCTCTGACAGAGAAAGAATATTGACAGGCATATTCAATATGTTTCTTTTCTTACGATAGTTTAACAAAATAAAATTTACAGTTCGCACCACTTTCGAGTAGTTGTTGTAGTCACAGACTCGAATAGTAAGGAGAATGTGTTTGTGAACTGCACAGTTTTTTTTGTGGAATTATATTTATGACCCCTTTGCCACAGTGGCTAAGTGAATAAGACACTGGTTGGCTTGCTTGGAGGTCACAGGTTCGCTCACAGTGTTGCCCGAGAAAGCTCATCAGAATTTTCCGACGTGGTTTCCGCTTGTCAGTGGTGCAGGACGGAGGGCCAGACAAGGACAGCTGTCTAGTCGTTTCGATGGGATGAAAAACTGAGGTCCTATGTACACATTAGCATGTACGTAAAAGCTCCCCTGGCAGTAGGAATTCAATATAAAAGTAGGCCTGAGCACTGCACACTGGCGCGAGGTTGGATGGCCAAATGGTTAGCTTGTGCGCGTTGTATCATAAGGTATGATTGAGTCAACTGGCGTGGTTTCGATTCCCTGGTTGTACATGACAAGGAGTAAGGTCGCCTGTCAAACTTCATGGGTTTCTCTGGGTCCTCCGGTTTCCTCCCACTGCTAAAGACCCCTACAGGCAAGCGAATTATTGAAATAAAATTAAACCATATATGTTAGTCCAGAAATGACCTAGTTTGTGTCGATTGGATGATAAATGCCATGCATTCTCTCTGAGGTCCCATGTACACATTAGCATGCACTTAAAGATCCCCTGGCAGTTGGAATTCAATATATGAGTAGGCCTTAGCACTACTGTCCAGACAAAACTCCCTGGTAACGCACTGGCGCGTTGTATCATAAGATATCTCATTGAGTCAACTGGCGTGGTTTCCATTTCCGGGTTGAATATGACAAGGAGTAGGGTCGCCTGTCCAACCTCGTGGATTTTCTCTGCTAAAGACCCCTACGGTTAGTCCTGAAATAACCTAGTTTGTGTCGAGTGGACGTTAAACCCCATTTCATTCTCACTCTCCCTTTGGATGGTGCTACACTTTTTCATGCATTATCATTATTTGTTTTCCATCTCAGGTTTGATTTCGATTGCAAAACCACATAAAAAAGGCTATTTAGTGGATCACTTTCAAGTTGCTGTAGTCACACACTCAAATAGTAAGGAGAATGTGTTTGTGAACTGCAATTTTTTTTTTTTTTTTTTTTGGCATTACATTTGTAAACAATACTGTTTGGAGACGAACATACTTTCACCGTTTTTAATACCTTAAATCACTGTTCAAAGTTTGAGGGAAGACCCAGATTAAGTGAAGGTCTGTCATGTTGCTGTACTTGGGATAGATTTGACTGAACGGGAAAGCTCAAGTATATGAAGCCAATCAAGCAATGGCCAGAGAGAGATTTCTCGGGCCATTTCTTTAAGAATATGATAGAATTGTGACTTATGTATTTATAACTGTTATTATTTTAACGATATTCCAGTTATCACATTTTATATATCAATATATTATTATTATTTCAGTTATTATTAAAACCTATAGATTATGGATTATCAACCAGTTCATTACCAGATAATGCCGAATTAAACCTAAAGGTTTTTGCTACTATTATGTTATTTTTGGTAAGAAGATCGTCAGTCCCACGAGGAAGACCAATGATGGTAGGTGGACAAATATAGAATTGTCGCTGTATCGATAACGCTAATTGCATAGCTGAAAAAATGTCAACTAATAACCGTGTCCATGTTCAAAACGTTAACCCTGGAACTCTATTGATGTACAACCTTATCTGTCGATTGTCAAATGGGGCAGCTGCAGAGCAGGGATCTTTTGGTTGACATCTCTTATTTATTCTTTGCTCGGCTGTGTTTGTGCACTATTGTCCCTGTCGGCAGGATCAAGAGTAAGTAGCATGGCCTATTTTAAGGTTTCATTGACGAAGCATGCTTTCTAGAGAAGGGTGTTTGTAGAGGGTTGGTTTCGAAAACATTTCACTGTCAGAAACACGATGTCATGCACCCTGGACAGAACTTGATAGGTCCAATTTAGCTCCTCCCGTCACCTCAATAATGCCCGCCCCCCCCCCCCTTAAAGATTTATCACAACGCTTACACTTTTATAATCAATTGGGAACTGCGGTGGCTCCATGAGTCAAACCCCATTTCATTTCATTTTTATAACCAAACATTTTATTTCATTTTTATAACCAAACGATACGCCCACAATTTCAAGGAGAACAGGGAAATCGATAGGGTTCATTCTCTCACTGCCCCAATGCTTCACATCGAATAACAAACTGTAGCCTCGATTGCGCTCACGGTGGTTTGGAAAGGGGGGTTTACGCCGAATATAGATAGCCCCCCCCCCCCCAATGATACACACCAAATTTGAAATACGCCTGTTAAAAATTGTAGCCTCTATAACCTTTAGAATGTTTTCAGCAGAAGGCGGGGGGGGGGGGGGGCTGGGGAGGGTAACTCCAGAACGGAAGGTTGTGTGACGCAAAATGCTGGTATAGATAGGGTTCGTCCCTAACGGACCACCAGAGGAAGATGGGAGTCGATTGGTTTCATGCTCTCATGTTGCCAATTCATCACACTAGAAAACTCACAAACTGTGTTACACAATTTGCGAAAAAGGCAAGGACCGTAACCCAAAAAGTTGCGCACCAATATCGAACTCATTCAAGCAAGATCTGTCGATCCTAAAATTCGATTCAAAAGTAGGCTAACCACCATTGTAACTTGCACCACCGGTAGGCATAGTCAGATAAAACGTCCATACAAGCTGTTTATAAAGGTTATCACCATTTTCATTTTTGAATTTTAAAAACAAGTTTCTCTGGAAATTTCGACAACGAGAGCAATTATTGATCGCTCATTGAATTTCACTCCCAAGAAGTTAAAAATAAAAATCTTAATAACTGTTAATCTAGAGAGAGAGATTACAAGATTTTCACGACAAGGGTAACATCGGTGCGAGTAATTGATGCAGAATTTCTATAGTGTTCATTTTTATATGCCCATATTTCAGTGTGGGCGTATTATATCGTCACCTTGTCCGTCGGTCCGTCGGTCAACAATTTTTTTCGAACTTGGATTGAAGCATTTTTGTCATGGGAGGAAATGAAATAAAATGGGGTTTATCGTCCCACTTTTCTGCTTCGACTGGGCTAAGGAAGACGGGCATTTGCCATGCAGTGTGCAATGAGGGAAATTTTAACTATTGGCCTACTCTTATTTCGAATTCCAACTGTCAAGGCTTCTTTTACGTACATGCCAATGTGTACACGGGGCCTCGGGTTTTCCTCACATCCGAACGACTATACATTGTCCCTTACCAGGCCCTCCGTCCTACACCACTGGCACGGGGTCGAACACGGGACGTCCAGGCTAGCAAGCCAATGTGTTACTCACGATATTCAGTGTTGTGCGACTTTCCGAAACCCTATGATGTTTTTCATATTTGGTGGGAAGAATTGGGGTCATGAGAGGATGACACCTATTGATTTTCACAGTTCCGCGTCTTTTCGTTCCGGAGTTATCGTCCTTTTCCGAAAATATTATTAACGCGGTAGATTCTGTTGTTTTTTATTGGATTTCTTTTAATTTGCGTCACGAGAGGATGAACTCTCTCGATATTCAGTGTTTCGCGACTTAAAGTTCCGGAGTTATCCCCCTTCGTCATGTGAGCACGAACCTATCGATATTCAACATTCTACAACTTTCTGTTCTGGAGTTATCCCAACCTGTTCCTTTCAGCAATGTAGGACTTTCCTTTCCAGAGATATATTATGTGTCCGGAAAAGCCTGTCAACACAATAGAGATTATATTTCTTCAAAAATCATGGATCCTTATCAAGTTTGCAAAACAATGAAAACATCCAAGTTTTCCTTTCGGATAACCTGCAGTTTAGATAAAGCTGCTGTGTGGGTGTGGCTATCTTTAGGATTAGTCAAACAATCCCAGCAAATTTGAAATTAAAATCTTAAAATTCTTACCGAAAGCAATTACAAAGTTTCAATGACAAAGACATGTAAATAAATGATGCATGACCCATTCGTAGTTGAATAAGAGCGTATATGAAAAGTAATTCATCTTTAAATTTATTTCGTTAACATATCCCCGCCCCTTCCAAGGAAACTTACAGTAATACATTCTGGTTATTATTTTTCTTATAACCGGAGAATTAATTTTGCTGAAGGAATTACGTGTTTTGGACCTTCGGTCGAAACACATGTTTCTGTAAGTGTTTTTATTATTATTTTTTTTTTTTGGTGGTGGTGGTGGGGTGAGGGTATTGGTTGGCCTCCGTGGATCTATTTATTAAATATAAATTGGGTCATTTTTGACGAACAGAAAGTGTTTTACGGATGGGACAAAAAATAACATCAGATTGCTCATATCTCGGTTATTTCTCAACGGATCTTCTTTGGGTTTCCATTTTGGGATTTGTTTGACGAATCCCATATGGGCTCTGACTGTTGAAACTTGGTGGGAATAAGGAACACATCGATGCCTTCAAAATGGCATATTCAAAAAATTGTGACGGCTTCCGGAAACTTCCGGAAATTACCGAAGCCTTCTTATTTTACCCGAACATGAATATTTCTCTCCCTTTTAAAAATAGACCAAAAATGACATAATGGTGGTGTTAGCTCTAGATATTATCTTTCATTTTCAAAGACCTTATTCCATAACATTTTCAACAGCTTGGCCGCCATATTAGATTTTACAAAAAACATTTAAATTGATATTCAGCCGTCATTTTAATTCCTATTTCGAAAACTCTTTTTTTTCAAATGGCAACAATTCTTGGGGAGCCGTTTAATTCCGGTTTCACTTTGAATTTTCTTCGACTTTTCACCTTCTAGATGGTGACCTAAACTGTCCATGGCACTTGGCCTTTGTATGTATGATGACCCCGAACTCTACTAACAATTAATATAAAAAAAAGTTCGGTCATGAAGTATAACTTCCGGTTTTATTAAGAGTTCATAATCACAGGCTTTTCCACTTTAATAGGGGTTGGATGTTACTGTGCTCAATAATTCATGGTGTGACTTGAATGTTGATGTGACAAGGCGTGGCGTGACGTGACATACCGAAAGTTTTAGTTTTTTGTTTTGTTTTGTTTTTTGTTTTTATTTTGGGGGTGGGGGGGTGGGGGGGTTGAGGGATTTAGCCAGTTTGTGCAGCTCAAACTGTACCTGGTGCAAACATTCTGTCAACGTAGATATTGTTGGCCTCTGTGAATATGTTTATTAAATATTTTTGACAAAGATGATGTGTTTTACGGATGGGACAAAAAATTATTTCTCAACGAATCTTCTTCGGGTTTTCATTTTTGGATTCTTTGGACGTATCCCATTTGGGCTCTGACTGGCGGTTTTTCGAAATTCGTAAGTTCGTTCGATTAATATTAGCATCAAAGCCTTCCGAAAGTTTTCTTTTTAATTTTTTCGATATTCAAGATAACGTATCCCCGTCACTATTTGATTATCAAGTTGAAACTTAGTAGCAATAAGGAACACATCGATGCCTTCACATGGCGTATTAAAAAAATTTGTGACGGCTTCCGGAAACGTCCGGAAATTACTGAGGCCTTCCGATTTCCCCGAACATGATATGTTCTCTCCATTTATATTAAAACAGTTTTAAAAGTCGGATAAAAAAAAATTCGACCTCTAGAGAATCCACAAACTGAAAAGCACGATTTTTTTGTACAATCAGGGACCTTAATCCAGGAAGTTACGGTCTGATATGCGCAAATGGCGAAAGGAACCAGGATCTTTGGGACATAAACATATATTTTAAGTTCTTTCAAAATCGGATAACAATTGTGACTTCAAGAGGGTCCACAACCTTGGTATGCAATACTTTTACACTATTGCGTACAAGAAGCCGCCATTTTATCAGGCAATTTGGTACGATTTAAACCGTGATAAATTTAAACCTTTTTTTTAAATTGGATAAAAATTGTGACATCTATAGAGGGTCCAAAAGCTAAAAACGTGATTTTTCTTACAATCAGGGACCATCAGGGACCATAGGAAGTTACCGTTCGATATGCGCAAATATCAAAAGGAACCACGATATTTGGATTATAAAAATACATTTCAAGTTTCATCAAAATCGGATAAAAATTGTGACTTCTAGAGTGTCCACAACCTTGGTGTTACATACTTTTACACTATTTGCGTACAAGGAGCAGCCATTTTGTCAGATTTTTACGAAATTCGAACTCAACCTTCATTGATATGTACGGTAATACATTTAAACCCTTTTTAAAAATGATTATAAATTATGACTTCTAGGGGGCCCACAAGCTAAAAATGCGATTTTTTCGAACGATCGGGGGCCATAATCCAGGAAGTTACGTTCGAACATGCGCGATTATCGAAAGAAACCAAGACCTTTGTGATATAAACATAAATTTAAAGTTTCATCAACATCGGATAAAAATTGTGGCCTCTAGAGGCTCCACATTCTTGATATACCATATTTTTACAATATTTGCGTACGAGGGGCGGCAACTTTGTCCAGCAGTATTGGTCCGAATTTTACGAAATTGAAACTCATCCATCATCGGGGTGTAATGGTGATATATTCACACGTTCTTTTAAATCGGATAAAAATTATGACCTCTAGACGGACCACAAGCTAAAAACGTGATTTTTCGTACAATCAAAGGCAATTCAGGAAGTTACGATCCGATATGCGCGCATATGGACACGAACCAGGATCATTGAGTTATAAACATGTATTTCAAGTCTCATCAAAATCGGATTAAAATTGTGACCTCTAGAGGGTCCACAACCTTGATATACCATATGTTTACACTGTTTGCGTACGAGAGGCGGCCATTTTGTCCTGCAGTTTTGGTCCGATTTTCACGAAATTCGAACTCAACCAACATTTTGGTGTAACGGTGATATATTCGAACGGTTTTTTAAACTGGAAAATAATTGTGACCTCTAGACAAGCTAAAACCGCGATTTTCCGTACAATCAGGGGCCATAATTCAGGAAGTTACGGTCCGATATGCGCGAATATCGATAGGAACCAAGATCTCTAGGTTATACACATGCATTTCAAGATTCATCAAAATCAGATTAACATAGTGACCTCTACAGAAATGAAATGAAATGTTTAACGTCCTACTTTTCTACTCCGAACTGGGCTAATGAAGACGGGCATATGCCATACAGTGTGACCTCTAGAGTCTCCACAAGCTAAAAACGTGATTTTTCGTAGAATCAGGGGTCATAATCCATGACGTTATGTTCCGATACATACCAACATCGAAAGGAACTGGGATCTTTGGGAGACAGACCTATATTTCAAGTTTCGTCAAAATCGGATAAAAATTGTGACCTGTAGAGTGTCCACAAACGAATTGTGGACGGACAGACAGACGGACAGACAGACGTCCGGGTGGACGTGGGCGACGACAATATACGTCCACATGAAAATGGGGGCGTATAAAAATGACATATAGTAGTGTTAGCCCCAGGTATTGTCTTTCATTTTCAGAGACCTCGTTCCATTACATTTTCAACTGTTGGGCCGCCATATTGGATTTTACAAAAAATCTTCAAATCGATATTCAGCCGCCATTTTGATTCCGATTTTCGAACCTACTCCAAAAGGCAACAATCCTCAGGGAGCCGAGTTTTGAATATTGATTTCGTTTACTTCCGGTTTCACTTTGAATTTTCTTCGACTTTTCAACTTCTAACTGGTAACCTAACCTTTTAATGACCCTTGACCTTTTCATATATCACGACCCTTGTGTCTACTAACAATTAATATCAAAGTGTTTGGTCTTGAAGTATAACTTCAGGTTGTATTAAGAGTTCAAAATGACAGGTTTTTCTATAGGTATTGGATCTTACTATACTCAATAATGCATGGTGTGACCTGACGTAACCGACACACGTCCGTATTCTTTGGAGTTCTAGTCGGATTTATTTTACAAAACAAATTAACATCTGGTGGTTTTAGCGATTTCCGAATCTATCAGAAAAATATTACTAAAACAAACCCTTGTTTCAATATGTAAAGGTAATATCAGACAATATGCAGTAAAAAAAGAAGATTTATGTTTTAATTATGTTTCAGCCTATGCCAGGAGAAATAGCGAGATATGTTTACTCTGATGCTGAATTTAGAACAGTTCATGTAAGGTTAAGAAGATCATATGAGTATTGTGAGGTAAAATATAAATTGTTCGATTATCAGCCAGGATAAGTATAAATTCAGCATCGCTGATTAAGAAGGCATTATTCAAGAGCTAGTTATGCCTATTGCAGGTGTTTCTTTAGGCCTTAAATGTTATATAAACTATTAATTATACATATATTAACTTGTCAAGACCATAATCAACTCTCGATACCATTTGATGGATCCGATTTTAAGTAGATTAGAACGGTTGGTCATTTAATTATTTAATTTAAAAATTGAGAAGCTAGGCTAAGTCTTGAAAAATCAGTGCGTTGATTACGATAATAAAAAATACATGCACACATCTTGTCAACACTACAAACATTGATAACTTCGCTCAGAATGAAGTAATTTGAATGAAATTTCAATCTATTAATTTTGCATTATCTATTTTGGAACTGTTATAGCAAAAACGGCTAACTCTTTATCTAAATATTAAATTATGCTTTTTTAATAAATCTTTTTAGGCGCAGGTTGTTAAATAACAATTCCCAATTCCTATGCGCAAGACATTTCAACTCTATGTTATATATATATATGGAAGGGTATCGCTGCCAATATTAAATGCTCTGCTAAAATGTCTTTTCCATTGATTATATGTAAAAAGTACGATGTACAATGTCCTAAAACCGGTATTGATGAAGTCAAAATACCTCCAAGGCCAAAGTTAAATGTAAAACGTCAAAGGTAATATGTCAAATGACAAATGTTTGATTGGAAAAGTCTGTTTTTTGGCGTGTCTACATTTTACATTTCCCTCATTACATTTTACATTTGCGTTCTGTCGCATTTCAACTGATCTTCACGCTTTCTACATAGCATCTTACGCAGAGCACTAACTATGATATGCAAATGTAGAATATCACGTGACTTATTAACATATACGGAAACGAGGCCGAGATCAACCTGGCACACTATAAGCCAGCACACGATAAGTGGAAATCAACCTGGCACACTATAAGAAATTTACCTTGAAAAAACGATCAAATTTAAATGGTACTAAACTATATTACGGATAGGGGGGGGGGGGTATGCGATATCAAAATAAGGACCATAATACGATATTCACGATATCATGTTACACATCAGTGAAAAGCACGTTCATGTATACTCTTTCCTCTCTTTAAGTAGCCTACATGTATATTCATTATTTGTTGGGCACAATGATCATACGTTTTTTTTTAAAAATGTATTAAAGTTAATTAGCCTGTACTAAGATTTAGAGCAGTGATTCTCAACCAGTGTGCCACGGCACACAGGTGTGCCGCGAGATCTTCATAAGTGTGCCGCGAAATTTCGAACGTCACACTAAGAAAATGCGAAAAATCACGTGATCCCAATTTAGTATTCACTGGTGTCTACTGATTTAGTTTCAGTCATTTTGTGTGTCAATGATTAGTCCGTGTCTACGGTCGTATGCCGTCTATGACTTTATTTTTACAAAATTCAAATATTTTTATATTTATTTAGCTAGGTGTGCCGCTATTTTTTCATGTGTTCCAAGGTGTGCCATTGGCAAAAAAGGTTGAGAACCACTGATTTAGAAAGAGGGTGTGGGGTCGGTGGCGGGAATTAAAATGTCAAAAATAGGGGTCTTAATACGAAATTCCAGTTATCGTGTTATACATCACTGGAAGGTATGTTTCTATGGCTCTTTGAATCAACCAGTTATTTCCTAGCACATTCATAATTACGTACTTTGGAGAAAGAAAAATCCTCCTTGTTTTGTCGAAAGAAATGTGTCGCTGTCCGACACTAACCTAATTGCTAAATATAGACTATACTGTCAATTTATGTTGTTTGTCAAAGGCTCGGATTAACCATACCAATCACATGATTTTATTGCAGGCACGGTCGTCCCGTGAATTTCTTATAGGTTGCCATGTTGATTGCCTCAATATCGTGGGGTATATTTTGTGTGTGTGAAATAGCTTTATTTTGCTTCCACCGAGGTGATATCACAGACAATGTAAATATCTTATGGTGTGCTGGCTTATAGTTTGCCAGGTTGATCTCGGCCTAGTTTCCGTATATGTTAAGTCATGTGATATCCTACATTTGCATATCATAGTTAGTGCTCTGAGTAAGATCCTATGTAGAAATGAAATGAAATGAATTGGGGTTTAACGTCCTATTGTTCTGCTCCTAACCTGGGCTAATGAAGACGGGCATACGCCATACAGTGTGCTATGAGGGAAATTTTGCGCGGGCAGCGGCACTACGGCCTACTCTTATATCGAATTCCAACTGCCAAGGGATCTTTTACGTGCACGCCAATGTGTACACGGGACCTCGGTTGTTCGTCCCATCCGAACGACTAGACAGCTGTCCTTGTCAGGCCCTCCATCCTGCATCAGTGACAAGGGGAAACCACGCCGGAAAATCTGAATGAACTTTCTCGGCCAATGCAAGGATCGAACACCCGACCTCCAAGCTAGCTATGTAGAAAGTGTGAAGATCAAATGAAATGCGACAGAACGCAAAATGTAAAATGTAATGAGGGAAATGTAAAATGTAGACGCGCCATTGTACATTGTACTTTTTACACGTAATCAGTAGAAAAGACATTTTAGCAGAGCATTTAATATTGGCAGCGATACCCTTCCATAATTTTCAAGAAACATGGTGCATTTTATGCGACAAATATATAATTTAGGGAACAGATGATGATTTTTTTTTTGTACAAATGTTAATTTTTTTTGTACAAATGTTAATTTTTTTGTACAAATGTTGATTTTGTTATACAAATGTTGAAATGTTGATTTTTTTGTACAAATGTTGATTTAGTTCTCGAAATGTTGATTTAAATTACAATTAGAACAAAACGCATAAAATCAAGAATTAGAATTACCAATTCTTAATAAAGAGAGGAAAGGTCTTCGATAAAGTCTTGATTAAAAAGCCAATCTGACATAAAACATCGATTTATTGTTATACGGAAAAATTCAATTGTCTCCGAAACAATAGGCGTTAGTGTGTTGTGGTCTTCAGATAGCTAAATATGTCAAATTTCGACTTCCAGTAGGCCTGTTATCGTCAAGTTCCTTTGTTTTGAGTAAAATACTTATCACATACCGCGCAGGATTTCATATAGGTTTGACAAGCTGAGTCTTAGGCCTGAAAATCTAGGGCACGTCTGGTCAAGGTACATAAGTCATTCTTACACGCACTGTAGTCTTAAACATCCGCCACCATCATCGGCTTTGCTTAATTTTGTTGAATGCACATGTCTATCTTCCTCTAGTCGTGAGGGTGGCGATTAGGATGGGCCTCAAAAGTGGAATAGACTAGGGCCTCTCTTCATCTAAATCTAGCACTGGTCACATGCGTTCTATTTTCTGTATTTCCAGAATCTGTTAAGAGATTGGGGACAAGAATATGTGAAGAGATTGAGAAACGCCATTTCTGCCAACCCAACCAAGGCACCGAATAATCCTATTAAGAGAAATTAAGACAAACTCGAGTCTTTTTATTGGTGGGGGGGGGGGGTGTTTTGGGTTGTTTTTTTAGTTGTTTTTTTTAAAACAAACTTTAAGTATATTTCCATTTAAATATAATACTTTGTCTGCAATCGCAGAATTTGTCGTACATCAGAGTGGAAAGCAGTGCCGGACTGGGCCCACCTGTCCACCTGTCCGTGAGCCTAAGCTCATTTTAAAAAAAGTGGGCCTAAGCATATAAAGAAAAAAGAAAAAAGAGAATGAAAAAAGAAAAAAAGAAAAAAAAGAAGAGAGAAAGAAAGGAGAGGGGGAGGAAAGAAAAGAAAGAAAGAAAAGAAAGAAGGAAGGAGAGGACAGGAGACAGGACAGGAGAAAGAGAAGATAGGAAAAAATGAAAAACAACACCAAAAAAGAAGTGTACTAGAATTCTCAAATTCATCTAATAATAGTGCTCTTAGGTCATTCTGTTATCTAATTGTATCAGGAAATCAAACATTTGCCTTCTACTGCTTTGGTCTGAAATGCTTGGAAAATGGGTTTGCGGTTGTCAATTTTTAAAATTTTCCTGAGGGGAGAGCCCCAAAGACCCCCCTCGGACCGCGCTCGTGACACGCCTTCGTCGGGTACTTGTGTGGGCCTTGGTAAATGACCTGACAGGTGGGCCTTCGACCCCCCAGTCCGGCACTGGTGGAAAGTGTGCCAGAAAAGCATAAGATGTATATAATAACTAAGGATATATTCTTTCGAGGTTAATTAGGTCATCTTTGACAAGGTAAAATCTTACACTGAACTGTTATATTCTTTATGAAGAAGGAAATATAAGTATAGGTTAAAATGATTTTAATATTAAAATACGCTTACAACAAATAAAATAGCAGTATATCTTGGTCGGAGTTTAGAGTTGGTGATATCGGACATGAATAGATAATAGCATAATACATATTTATTCAGGCATTTATTAAACAATAAATAATAAATGCCCGAAGAGCCGCCATCTTTAATTTCAATTATATATTACCAAAGAGCAGGTGACATGTTGCCCTTAATAGTGAGGCTTATACGCGCTAAAATTTGCATAGGTTTCCGGTTAGACTCATTTAATAAGAAAAGCAGGTTAGCAATTTCAAAAAGTTTCGACTTTACTTTCACTGAATTTTACCCGCTGGACCGATTGAAGGGATTTTTATACGCCTGGACGTCAGGGCGTCCGTTCGCATTTGTTTGTGGACAGTCTAGAGGTCACGCATGTTATCCGTTTTCATGAAACTTATAAAGTATGTTTATTTCCAAATGATCTCGGGTGGGTTTGACGCATCGGATCGCAACTTCTTGGGTTATAGCCTCCTTTCTTGTGAAATAAGTGCAATGTTTTTGGTCCGATGCAGATGAAACATAAGTTATATATGTTAAGGGTCCAAAGATCTTGGAGGACTTCTTTGGTTATGACCCTTGCCTTTTACGTGAAATGTGAATTATGTATAAAGTTTGTGGATCCTCTAGAGCCCTTAATTTTTATCCGATTTTGACGAAACCTAAAATATATATTAAAATAATGCTGTCAAGGTATGATACGGGACTTGATAAATTGACATTTTGAAGATACACGTACATTATTCCTGAACATCGGCTTCTCTATTGTTTCGAAATGATTAATCAGAGCAAAAGCTATATAGGCCTATAAATATAACAAATATTAACTGTTTGGGAATACGACATAACCGGTTTATTTTTACACGATATAGAAGACCTTCAGAACAGTAGCATGTTCTCTTTTTGGATTGATATACTCAAACGTCAAATGGGTATCAAATCGAACATTTAAGTTGTTACCGTGTTAATATCGATCGATATTTAGTTATCGAGAATCCTGAGATTAGTCTGAAAGTAAACCTGTTATAGCTAATAACATCAAGTACAAAACATTTTAACAGCTTTACTTTTAGACTAATCTCAGGATTCTCGATCGATATTATAGGCTTCAGCGTCTCCGTTAAATGTAGTTTCATCTGATTTTAAGGTGTAGACCATTTCTCAGCATATATTGTAAATTCGGTGTAAATGTCCGCAAACATGGATGAGTTTGTAAATGCTTTTGAAAATTTGTGTAGAGTTTAAAGAGCACATAAAGTCACCAGACGAAATTTCTGTACTTGTAGCGTGGTTATTATATGCACTTCACGGCAAGTTCACACCAATCTGATTACAATTAAATCAGCCATCTCACTCAAAGTCGCAAATATAGACCTCTCGTGAAAACGACATAGCCAATTATCGAAAACACTCTAAACCCCCCCAAACGCCAGTGACGTCACAATGACCTAATGCAATTCGGAATGTTTATTCCTTAATTACTTATAATACAGCCGGGGTATGTATTCATTAACGCCTGACTGATTCCTTAATTGTCTTATTACATAAAACAAATTTGTTTTGTAATTTATTTTAATTTAAGATCCAATTTCGAATTTGTTTTATCCTACCATAACAAAGACAGTCGCGGTAGCCACATTTCCCGTGTCCTTTTGATCAGAATGAATTGGAGTAAGCCAACAGTAAAACTGTACAATAATTCGCTTTCTATGAAGACAACAAGATGGGTGTCAAATTGTTATCGACGGTGCTACGAACATCTATGCAGTCAAGAGATAATTAATTGTGGGCTTACGCGAAACGAAATGGTTTTGTGGTGGTAATTCTGGATGTGATTGACAACAATGTTTCATTCCGAAGCAACTGCGTCGAATCGACTTCGTCTCTGGTTGCAGCACACCAATAGAGATGGTTCGTTATATTTGGAATACAGAGATTGATGCTGTCACAGTGTTTTTTTCTTTTCCAAGTGCCCTCAATTTTGTTTTCAAACCTGCAAGAAACATTAATAATTCTAATGCTATAATTAACATTTATTTTAAAAACTACTTCGTTCCAACGACCTTCCAAGATATAGTCTGACATTATAGTCAAATTTTATATGTCAATTTTTATATGTCAATGTGTATGTTTTATGATGATCCAAACTCTATCAAGCTACAAATAAAGCAAATTTACCTTTAGCTTCATATTCACCAGGCTTTCGCGGATCCATTTATACCGATTTGAGTAGCCAAATGTATGTCTTTCTCCATGTGGATGCTGGATTTGACTTCATTACTCTGAAATAGATCGTTAAAAATGAAATAGGAAAAATATCTCACTATGTTAGAATTTACAGTAGGCCTACAACTAAATTTGGGCTAATTAAATAACAGATTGTTTGAAAAGGGACATTTGGCTATATTTGTGTATATTAAAATATGGCAAGTGTACACGTGTCGGTAATACCTCTGGTCACTGTTTCTCGAAATCTTAACTAAAGATAAAATCCAAATTTTAGTAGATACTTCAATTTTGATTGGCTAAGCACTAAAATCAACCTAATATTATCCAATCAAATTACTAAAATTTGGATTTTATCTTAGTTAAAATTTTGTGAAACAGGCCCCAGATTAATCAATATTGACTAAAAGTTGTACAGATATAGGATCATAAATTAATAAACACCCCGATGTTAGGAGTGCTGGCGGGTTTAAGACCGCTGATTAGGTAATTATCCTTTGTATGTCGGCCGGATCAAAGATAATTATAAGTTCAGACAAACCTTGTAATATTCTTTTCTTTTTTTTTTTTTTTTTTTTTTGACTTTACAATGTCATAAATACGAATTAGGACTGACCTGGACTAATTGTGTATCAAATACAAACTTAGCGTTGTGGCCAGGTGTATCTGCCCTAACGTCTCTTCCCACCGTTATACCTTTCTCATTTAATCTGACACCGGCAATGTAATCGGCATGGATACGAAAGCCCAGAAGGCTCATTCCAAATTCCAAATTCCAGATTCCAAATTCCAAATTTGCTGCTGTAGCAAAAAAAAAAAATAATGCCAGTCCTAGGATACCGAGTAGCAGAGTTGTTCACTGCAGAGGAACTTTGCCCCAAACTGTTCACATCTGCCGGAGCAAACCCGAACTGGAATTGTTATACTCTAACTGATTAGTCAAAAGCAAAAACCTGATCCGATTGGTCGAATCAGATTTGGAATTTGGAATTTGGAATCTGGAATTTGGAATTTGGAATCTGGAATTTGGAATTTGAAATCTAGTAATTTGGAACGGGTATTTATCCACCCCAGATAGGTAAACTAGAAGTAATTAATTGTGTAAAATTACAATTTATATAAATTCTAATTTGTTTAATTGAGGGGGGGGGGGTGCCAATTTGCTATTTTATCGGTAAGACATGAATTTAGAATTTGGAATTTGGAATTTCGCATTTGGAATTTGGAATTTGGAATGAGCCTTCTGGGCTTTCGTAGCATGGAAGTCTTTCCATTCTAACTTGATAGTTGGGTGTATTGTTCGTTGGTGATTCATGTTCGTTGTCGCGGTTGTATGAGATATGTTCATGATCGAGAAATGTCTTTACTTTTGACTTAAGAAAACCATCGACACACTGTATCCACCCCCTTTGCTGAAATTTCCACAACTCTCAACAACACAAAGATAATGTGCCATTTTAAAATTCACTCTAAAATATTCTAGATACAAGTTTGTAACCTATAACAATTCAAGACGAGAAAGGTCAGCTCTTAAATATGCTTTGTTTTATTATTGTAGCGTACATGTAGATGATTATAATGAGGTAATGCTTATTTCAGTATGTTACTAGGATCGTGAATAAACACTAGTTAACTGGTGGTGTGTATGGATAGTGATCAGATAAAAACAGTGTATATTGTATGTGCGGTACCCGTGATACTTAAACGGTAATATGTCGAATAATTTTAATTTGATTGGTGTGAACTTGCCGTAAAGTGTATATTGAACCACTCGCTATAACTACATAAAATTTAGTTTTCTCATTTTATGTGCTCATTAACTAAAGCCTAGCTCACAACCCGTCGTACGTGCTACTACTGGCAGTCTACGGGGTAAATTTTAGTAAACCCGTGCGTGAGACTTTCGCGTCACTTGCATGTTTTCGGCATTATTTTAGCCTTTTCCGAGATTCTATCCGGATTATCGCCCTTATTGTTAAAATTGTTTGACGTTCTAACTCATAACGTCAACTGGCAGATTATCGCCATTTAGGAGACGACCACTGTCAAGATTGGTCGCATTATTTCTGTTACGTCTTTTTTTCTTTTTTTTTTTTGTAAATCATTTTTTCTTTTCTTTTTTGTATTTTTATTGAATGCTGTACCATAACAGGCCCGGGACTGTACAGCGCAGTGGACGCTTACGGCTGGCCCCCGGATCCATTCACTTGAATTGATATCTGTTTATTTGGTGCAGTGTCTATTTTCTGTCTTGTCCGCAGGTTTATCGTGTAGATTTTCGTTTTGCGTGTAGTGCGGGGTCTTCCTGCACCTACTAATAGAAGATCGCATACTGGCCGTAGAGACTTTTGGTCCTGCACATACAAAATCTTATCTATTTTAACATTTGATTATTAAATGATGAGCGTGTTCTAATCAATTCAATATCTAGGTCACATGATGACCCAGAATGTAGACTATGGGATTGCCGTGTGAATAAATGGCTAAATGATAATTTATATAAGGGTCATTATCACTCTCACAAAGAAAATAAATGTAGCCACTCATGAATCATACCATATACAAAACAACCTTTGACTCGCCCTAATATCACATACTTAACCTTTGGTATCATTAACAAAGTATTTGATAAACTCCTTGGAAAACACATATAAAAATATTAAATAATGGTAGGACACTAATATCTCAGCGATAACTTTACAGATGTTACCCAAGTTTGTATAGTTCCATCCAAAACTATTTTATGCCAATCGATAAAGACCGTAAATGTATTTTATTAATGTTTGTATATTATATTACACGACTATAAAATTCTAGAATGAAATTAAATCGTCTGAATTAAAACGTATGCAGGGACTAGCTAGATATGATATAGTCATACAGTTTTGTTTGAAGAGAGGGGTGTTTGTGACATCATTGGTCCTATCAGATAAAGCATTTTGGGAAATAAAAGATGCATCGGTGTAGCAACTAGAAACGTCTTATTTAAAGGGCCAATCCCGATAATATGTTGGAGAATAAAACTGCTTAATTTTGTGTTAAAATCCCTTAAAATCCTCTACCAAAGGGCCGAGCAACTAACTCAATATTTGTGATACTTTTTCAAACAACTTAAACCTATCAGTCTTCATCAGGAAATGGAGACCAGTGTCACAAACTGTATTATGTGGCTTATGGATAAACCAGATTTTTACTTATAAAAATAATGTGTAGGTGAAATTTACCTTTCGTTATCAAGTACAGCACATGGGCCATTCATTGTATAGACCTCTAAAGGAATGGGAATCGATTATCAGGCCACCCAACGAAAAAATGACCAGAAATCTTAAAAGGGTTACGTGTCCGGATAAGCATTTATGATGTTCACGTCCAAACGACTAAATATTGTGAGCTGAATTTTTGAGACAAAGTAAACACACCATTTACTTTTATTTTTGAGACTCTGATCAAATCGGGATAGTCCCTTTAACAGGTCCAGTACCTCAATTTTTCGATTTCGATAATTTAAAACTTTTATAACGTGGGATTTATTTCGTGGGCATTATGCCTCTTTTATTGTCAAGGTGTATGGATATTTTTCCTCTGTTCTTCTTTATTTACAGGCACTTAAAGAGATTAAAATAAAACTTCTTACTACTGGTTGACTATATATTACAGTATATAGACGGTTTCTCACTGGTCATTTTGTTTTCACGCGTTCAAAATATTTCGTCTGCTATCATTTCACAATACTCGCTAGTTCTAACACTTCCTGTCGTTTTTATTGCCAAGAAGACTATTTGAACATTATACACCTTCCAATGTAATTAAATTGCTTATTTTACAGCGTTATTAATTACAAATCAAACTTGAAGCGTGATCACTTGGCTATTCGTATCTTCGACGGACCGGAAGTAAGACGAAATGAGGTCAACGACTCATGTTGGGGAAGCACTGATTTTTGATTGGTCGAGGCGTGTTACTAAAACTAAATTTGACCCTTATAGTTGATCGCGAATTAAGAATTTCAGAATGACAGCTGAATACTCTCATTGGTAGGTAACACACTTAGGAAACTACATAAGCCTACTTAAGAAAATTTAATTGATCAAGAGTAAAATGGCTTTATAATTAAACAATTTTATTTCTGCACCTTGTATAGACGTAAACCTGTGTGTATGTGGTGGGGGGGGGGATATCTATATCTAAAATATTTTACCTTTTAGTCGGCAAAAATGAAGTGCCCGAAATAAAGAAATAAACCGGAGATCTCCGATCAAGTTTCGGCCGATATCTGCTATAATAGATTTTTCAAGCATCGATCATTATAAAAAAAAAATATTTGTTTCATCAATTTTTTCAGAAACCTTTATTTTTTTATATTGACTAATAAATTTAAAATATTTAAAATCAGTGTAAAAAACAGTGTCTAGTGCCACTATATAAATTCAAATGCCTGACATTTTTCACCCGACAAACACGCGTGTTTGTGTTTTGGTGCAGTCTGGATCACCCAGTCCCTATGCAAATTTCGAGTAACGGATAAGTTTATAAAGGGACTGGGTGATGCAGACTGCTACAAACAAAAGCAAAAGGGAATTCCTTTGACCTCAGTTCGTCTTACTTCCGGTCCGTCGAAGATACGAATAGCAAAGTGATCACGCTTCAAGTTTGATTTGTAAACAATAACGCTGTAAAATGACCAATTCAATTACATTGGAAGGTGTATAATGATCAAATAAAGCCTTATTAGCAATAAAATTGACGGGAAATGTTAGAACTAGTGAGTATTGTGAGATGATAGCAGACGAAATGTCTTGAACGCGTGAAAACAACATGGAGGCTGAGAAACGTTATACTGTAATATATAGTCAAGCAGTAGTAAGAAGTTTTATTTTAATCCCTTCAAGTGCCTGTGGCTTTATTATAGTTGTATATACTGACAAAGAGAACACGTTTTAAGGTTCTTTAACATATT